AGTTTATATATTAAAAATAACAGTAAAATATTGATTATTATGGTAATGTCGTCTAATAGTCCTGGAATTAGTGTGCACTGCAAAAAATGCTTTTCTAGCTTAGATCTTTTGTCTTGTTTCCAGCCAAAATATCAAAAAATTCTTAAATCAAGAAGGATTTTCTAGACAAGTAAAAATTATTGTCATGTTTTCAGAAAAAACAAGTCGAATTCAAGTGAGTTTTTGCTTGAAACAAGCAAAATAATCTCCCAATGGGGTAAGAAAAATAATCTTGTTTTCTGTCTAGAAAATCCTTCTTGATTTAAGAATTTTTTGATATTTTGGCTGGAAACAAGACAAAAGATCTAAGCTAGAAAAGCATTTTTTGCAGTGTGTGTTAATAGTAGGGCTGGGCGATTTTCCCGATTTAATCGATTCATTCGAATTTATTGTTTTGCCACGATTTTATTTTTTAGAAATCGAGGAATCGCGATTTTGAATAGAAATATTACCAAATGTCAGAATTAGACACTTTGACAATATGCCGGTGATAACAGTAAAGCGAAACGAATGATCCAACCACATGTCGGCGAACGTGATTAACCGCTCATGTGTGACGCGCTCTGTGAAGGACCATTAATATAGCACTAAGCCCCATTCACGCAGAATGCGCTTTTGTGTTGACAAAGATGCGACGCGGGCAGTGGAATAGGTAAAACATGCAAGAAGATGGGAGTGAACTTCTTTTAACTTGAGCGCAGTGTTTTTAGAATGGCGTTTCATGCATGAGACGCTGCAAGAGATGCGAACTCAACAGTCAAACACATCCATGTTTACACAGAATAAACAATGGAAAAGCAGCGCAATCAAATAAAAAAACCTGTAAAGAACTACTCCCTGTATGTCTGATATTTCAAGTTTGCATCATGGTGACAGGCTGAAAGCTGCTGTTGATTTACAATTAATGATATTCTACTGGTGTTATACCTTCAGTCATTTTGAATTTGAATTACCGTGACTTTTGAAATTTTTTAAAAGCATTTTCCTGCGAATCAGACAATTTAAGATTTGATCAGATTGGTGCTGAACAACCCTAAGAGCCGAATTCCACAAACAGGCCCAAGACAACAGGATGTTCGTAAATCAGATCCTGGCGCCACGAGTCTGAAGTGAGCCTAACAAACTAGCAGCTTCAAGCAGCTTTCAACATTTAACAAAAGAATACTTATTGACAATACCAACTCAGAAAAGAGATTGTCAAATTTGGGGCAAATAACCAAGATTAATGGTCAAAGAGATGCACAGCCTGACTATCACATATGTAAATCCATGATTGAAATCATGAACTACATATTTCCTCGGACTGGTTTCCCCCAACCAGGACAAGAACCAGACTGAAATTCCTTATGAGACCTTTTAACCTCGTTGGTCTTTACAGAACGCATTCTTACTTCACAGAATGGCATAGAAACTGCCTTCCCATGTATATATGCACCTAAAAGGACTTATGAGCAACTAATCATTTCTATGCATAACTCTATATCATGTATGTAACCTACACATTTGACTATCATGTCCTAATCATGCTGGGTATGTATGAGTTTGAAAATTCATGCTTTAAACGTTTCTATCAACCAATAATTTCTAAAATATATTATATTCTGGTTATAGAAATCATGTCCAAATTATACCCTGCACGAGCAGGAAAATTCAGACCATGTGACTGATAAGATAACGTGTGATTTATGTATTGGGAGGAGAAACATACAACACCCCGAGCAAAGACAATATCTAAATGGTCAAGACACCATCAGCCCGGGTTAAATACTCAGGACACCATCAATCATGCTTTTAGTCATCACTTTTGCTTTGTGCTTTTAGCCATGCTTTTTGCCATCACTTTTTGCGTTCTTTGAGCAACGTTTCAGCATGCATCGGCCTGCATGCCCGCTGCTACTAGCCACTAGCCACGATGAGAAGAAAACCCATCTAGTCTCATTACTTCTATTCTTCTACTTTAATTTCTTTTCTTTTCCGTTGAGAGATTTGTGTTCTGAGTTAAGTTTTGTCTCCAAGTTCACCTTGAGTCTGTGACCGCCTCAAAACTTCAACCAGCCCACAACTCCTTATCTTCAGCCAACGCCCAACCACTGGCTTCCCAAGACGTCACTTCAACGACTACTGAACTTCCAGCCAATCAGCAACCTTGAGAAACCCCCTTTTCTGCAAGGACGACAACAAAGAACACAAGCAACACAAGTATCTCCAGATCCTAGCTGAACTGGTGCATTTAATATAAATTTTAACCTCATTGAGGAACTCAATTCGAGGGTTAATTAAGTGATTGATGGTTGTTCAGGTCTATGCAATTGCACATATTGCTGTAAACTTGGGATTTCACATTTTAATTCTCTTAAACTCATTCTTTCCTCACTTTCTCTCTTCCTGCAACTTGTGTGAATGTGTGAGTGCGTGTGTTCATGTGTTAGATTAGTTAATATTCTTTATCCAATAAAGCCTTATTCATATTGAATAGAGAAGTATCTTGTGTTTTGTGCTTACAAGTTAATGTCTTAAACTGCCGATCTTGTTACTGTGCTAATAAATAGTGTTTTCACTATACTTTGGATATTAATATCCATTGCAGAATTGATGTTATACGGCTCGTTCAATGAATCGCTGGCCGACTCAGTGATCATCCGTAAAACAGTGATTCTGTCCAAATTCCAAATAAATGATTCCCTTTGAGCTAAACTGACCAGTTTCCCTTACAATACTGTGTCTATTTATTATGTATAAATACACACACATGCATGTATATATTTAAGAAAAATATGTTATGTTTAAGTATTAAATATATGTATATATAATATAAAAATATAAATATATAAATACATGTAAATATTTTCAAAATATATACGGTATGTGTGTGTATTTATATAAACATAATAAATAAACATGGTACACATACATATATTATGTAAACAAAAACTTTTATTTTGGATGCAATTAATCGCGATTAATAATTTGACAGCACTAGTTTATAGGTAATTCATATCCTTTAATTCTTAAAAGTAGAATTTTAAAGTCATTCGACTGAATGACGCACAACTCGACGTAACACATCCACGTGTTTGGGAGCCATGAACCTGCTAGACAATCTACATGAACATATTAGAGGCACAGATGAAGTGATCCACGTGTAACCTCGATGAAGTCCGTATACTGACCCTGAGAAAGATGGAGGAGTGATTCGGGAACTAAAGCATTGAGTGAGAGACAAAACATTTAAAAAGAAAAAGAAAAAACATCCACAGAGGCTTGAAGATAAGTACTTCATTATTAACAAGCACCTGAGCTGGGCAGCGTTCAGTTCTACTGGCCCATGCTCACTTTTGTTCAGGCCTGGAGTGAATAATTTAACACACAGCAAAGGTTCATATATCCGTGTTTCTACAAAAAAAGAAAAGAAAAAAAAAAGAAAAAGAAAAAGTAATTTATTTTCCAGGAATATAATAACTCCGCTCATTATAGCAGGTCTCTATAGCACTTGTCGAGTCAGACTAGCTCAAGTTTCATTCTCCCTCACACTCTTCATGGAGAATAATACAAAATTATTAGTACTGTCAAACAATTAATCGCATCCAAAATAAAAAATGTTGTTTACTTAATATATGCATGTGTACTGTGTTTATTTATTATGTATATATAAAGACATACACATGCAGAATATATTTAGAAAATATTTACATGTATATACATTTATATATTTATGTTCTTATATTTTATGTAATATATAAATATATTTAATACATACTTTTTTTTTATATATACATGAATGAGTTTGTATTTATATATACATAATAAATATACACAGTACACACATTTATTATGTGAACAAAAACTTTTAATTTGGAATGCGATTAATCGTTTGACAGCACTAAAAATTATAAATAGAAAATACAGAAAAGTCAGCCTTTTGACAAAGATCAGGTTTAATATCTGACCATATGTCAACTAAGGATCATAAATAAAAAAGAAAAATAAGTAAAAAACAAGTTAAATTTCACAGCTTACATATAAGTTGTATTATTATGTTTTGAAAAAGTAAATATATAAATTTTCTGCAGTATTGGTAGTAAGAGACTCAAATTTGATACCTGCGCTTTCTGACTAAATGATGGCTGACTTCTAAAGATTTGTGTGCTTTGCACACTTTGTGAATATGGCTTTCTGAATGAATCTTTCTGCGATGTATTATCAGTTATGTCTAAAGTGACTGTAAACATTTAATTGTTTTAATGGTCACACATTATTTTAAGGTGCAATTCTTACTATTTACAAACCATTAACTACGACTTTTGCATCAATAAACTCCTAATTTGATGCTTATCAATAGTTAGTAAGGTAGTTGTTAAGTTTAGGTATTGGGTAGGATTAAGGATGTAGAATATGGTCATGCAGAATATGTGCTTTATAAGTACTAATAAACAGCCAATATGTTAATAATAGGCATGCTAATAAGCAACTATTTAATAGTGAGAATTGATCCCTATACTAAAGTGTTACTGTTTTAATTTGATTTTTTAGCTTTCATTTTCATTTGTTCAATAACAAAATTAGCTTTTTGCAATCAAAATTTAATTGGCATTGGTATTAACTACTGAAAATTTGGAATAATGACAACCCTCGTTTTCAATAGAGTCCAACCACTAAAAACTGTTCAAGGCAAATTAGTAAAAAACACCATTATTCCTGTCAGAAATGGCCAATGGCCAATTCATTTAGCAAAAGATCCAATTGTAAAACACTACAAACTGGATTATATAAATGAATCCCAGCTCTTAAGAACAGACAAGAACAAAAAGCTGACCACTTATCAGTAAGAGCTGGAGATAAAGTACAAATTATTTTTTTTCCAGGAAACGATTTGACTTCATTTACACATATTCGGTGAGCATCGCAAGAGACACAGAAAGTTACAGAACAGCATCAAAATACCACATGGCATCGCCCCTCACCTCAAGTGTGCATGCTGCATTCTCCAGAGTCATCGCCCCAAGTGGGTCCCTTCGGTCGCCAAGGAAACTCAATCTAGCTCACGTCTCGCTCCTCTTCCTCCCGCTCCTCCTCCCCCGTTCAGCATGTGAACCTCAGGGCTATCAATGACCTGAAACAAAAGCAGGTGGATGGAAAAACACGACCGTCATTGGTGCCAGAGCAGCTCACTGCCAATCATCCAGGCCCAGGATTAAGTGTCAGCGAAGACGCGGCGGGGCCCGTGAGACAGCCGGAGCGTGTCTCAAATGAACGTCTGCCTGACTGCCTTGCATTCACACTCACTGATTCGCTCACTATAACGCCGACCCCTCGCGCTCCCCGCAGCCCGGGGCAGAGACGCAGGCATAAAGCAGTTAGATGCTAATTAAGGTGTGTTCCATCAGGAGAAAGTGGCTTGATTAATGGATGTGAGGGACAGCTCTGCGGAAAGCTGGATATTCCCCTGAAACTGCACACCAAACAAACTGCCTGGCACATGATGAGACTCAGTGATGCTTGGGGGGGAAAACAGCAAGAACAAGCAGAGAGCGAGAGCGAGAGCGAGAACGTACGTGATGGCGACTCAAGACCAATTTGAAAGTGTTTCTTTGCCAGCCAGTTCTTGTCTAAGCAGATCTGTCCTAAAGATTAACCTGCAGAGTTTGAGACAGGGCGAGTTCCCTATCAAGATTGAATTTTAAAAAAAGAAAAGAGAGAGAAGTAAATAAATAAATCTCATTACTTTCTCACACTCATGCCTTTCCAAACTCATATGCTATTTATTTTCCCAAAGAGCACAAAAAAAGATATAAAAAAGGACAAAATCTTCCATTTCCACAAGTCTTATTTATGGTAAAGGGAAGCTCAAAAGCGCGCGCTTGATGCACCAATGAGGTTTGTTTTGACACATGAAGCAAATATGGCTGAGCTTTCTGTTTACTATCTAATGTGCCTAATGTATGTGTATTTATCAAAGATTATGTGTGAATGAAAGCCTAAATTAAATACATTCATCACATTAAATGAACAGTTCACCCAAAATTGAAAATTATACCGTAATTTACTCACCCTCAAACCATCCTAGGCATATATGCCTTTCTTCTTTCAGACAAACACAATGGGAGTTAATAATATCCTGGCTCTTCCCAGTTATGTAATGACAGTGAATGGTGAAAGTTTTTGAGGCTCCAAAAAGCACATCCATCCATCATAAAAGTAATCCATAGGACTCCAGGGGTTAACAAATGCCTTCTGAAGCGAAGTGATGGGTTTTTATGAGAAAAATATCCTTACTTAAAACTTTATAAACTATTAAGCCTTTTATGATGAATGGATGGACTTTTTGGAACTTCAAAAACTCAAACATTGTTCATGCCATTACAAAGCTGGGAAGAGCCAGGATATTATTTAATATAACTGATTATGTTCGTCTGAAAGAAGAAAGGCATATACACCTAGGATGGCTTGAGAGTGAGTAAATTATGGGATAATTTTCCATTTTGGGTGAACTATCCTTTTAAGCAATTGTGTGATTTCAGAAGACTTTAAGTGCCCAATTCATATGAATTACTTATATGAACTGGAATGGACTTTCAATGGAGGGACAGGAATCCCTCATGTGGGTGAGTAAATTACAAAATTTTAATTTTTGGGTGAACTATACTTTTAAATCTTCTCTCTGCCAAGAAGCTGGACCGGAACACAAGAATTGGTGAATGAGCTGGAATCGAACTCTTGTCTCCTGCATGAGCACCAAAGCTTTACACACTGCTACAGCTCAGACTTGACATTAACAAGTTTTAAAAGGTTAAATCTTTTAAATATGCATGAAATTACGGTAACAAACAGTGAATGTAATCTAATCCACTTACTCTACTTAGACCTGAGAATCCGGCTGACCACATCGTACAAAATACTGCAAGTGCAATAAAAGTCCAAGTAAATCAATTACATGGCTGTTTTAGCAAAGCAAGACTGCTGTTCTGTATTCTCGGATTGTTCCATCAGAAAACAAGATAAGGAGAAACACTAAGCAGACGTCGCAAGTGAAAGTCTCAAAGACAACAGCCGGTTTCCCAGGCCCATCAGCGTGATTGATGTCAATGAAGATACGCAATGCTTGTAGAGGTGCAACGCTTTAATCAAGAATGTACTAAACAAATATGACCTAGCACTGGCTAAAGAAATCTCAAGTTACTCAAGAGCTGTAAAAGCAGCTCAAAGCTCCTTTCAAAACTTTTCCCATTCGTCACATAAAGACCAGACGCCCATGCTGGGCAGGCTTGCACTTTGGCTAATGGTGTCTGGCTTTTGACTAGCATGAAAGCACTGGAATCAGATTAAGGTGTAAAACTTGCCATAATGTATTGAGGACCACTGCACAGCAGGATGTAACACCATGGGAACTTCTCTAGCATTATTAGGCAATCATACTGACAAACCAATGGAAATGTATTTTCTAGGGCTGTCAATTTAATGTGCTAATTTACTGTGATTACTCAGAGAAAGTAATTTATTCAATTAACCATGTCCCCAATGCATTGAATACATAAATTCCATAATAAAAACTTGTAATAAAATAATAACAAAAAATTCTAACTATTGGACCAATTCAAGCTAGTAATTAGAGCCCGACCGATAGGAGTTTTTTGGGGCCGATACCGATATTAGGGAGTTAAAAAGATATCGATATGTCGGCCGATATTCTTTGTGTATATTATAGTACAATACCAGTCAAAAGTTTGGACACTTTCCCATTCGTGTGTCCAAACATTTGACTGGTACTATATAGAGAATACAGTGTATATATATATATATATATATATAAACACATTTTTTGCAATGATCTCAATATGAACTCAAATATGGTGATCAAACACTTATAATGGCGTGACAGATATGTAATGGAGGCAGGGCATTTAACAATTTAACAATAAACTTAATTATCCGAAATGAGTCTGACATCAGTGCACTGAACAGTAAAGTTGAAGTTTATTCAACTTTAATTCAATTCAACTTTATTCCGTTGAAGTTTTTCACTTCGGAACATTCATTCACAGATCTGCACTACTGTCTTCACACACAGACGAAACTTACTAGAGAAGTGTGAAATAATACACCTCTGTAAATAAATACAATATAAATAGGGATACACCGAAATGAAAATTCTTGGCCGAAGCCAAAACCGAACAAAATTAAACACTGGGCCGAAGGCCGAATACCGAACACGTTTTTTCTAGTTTTTTTTCCCCATGTATTTTGCACAAAAAAAAAATCGCCATTTAATAAATTAAAAAGCCAAAATGTGCCTTTTACTGTTTTGTCTTGCTTTTCAAAGCATTGTCACATGCCTTGTAAAAATTCATTAAAATGTGACTGAGCAACGGACGACTGTATCAGCGCAGATTTTCTTCGTGCTTTGGACTTTGAACCCTGGTTAACAAGCAGATCTGCTGCGAGTTCGTGCAGCTCTGTCAGAATACATGCAATGCGTGCGTGTATTAGAAAACATAACGTTCTGCAGTTTATTTACTAATTAAGGCCATTTCACGATTTCAATCATCATACAGTAACCAGCAACAATCACCCCTTCCTCTTCTCATTGAAGACATGCGATGCAGTCCTAAACAGTCTCTCACTGTCGGTGCTTGTAATGATTTTTGTGTCTTTTTCCGACAGTTTAAATGCTTCCACACTGCTGACGTGTGTGCTGCATAATAAAGAGTGCGCACCTCTCACTCTGCGCTGGTTGCTATTTGATCGTGTCATATCATTGTTCGGTACAATTTATTCTGTCTTTTCGCTTATTCGGTTCGGTTGCCGAACATTCGGTGCATCCCTAAATATAAATTCACGTCTCGCGCACTTTAATGCCCTTTGAATGTAATGTGTACGTTCACTTGGAACTGGAATCATGGCGGAATTTCATGTGAAGTCCACTTCGCAGGGCACTTACGGTCAAATAAGACAACGCTTGAATGCTGCTGCCTGAACAAGAGACCTCCTTACTGAAGTGAAAGTGTTGGCTGGTGTCACTATCTCGCGAACGTGCCGGCGGATCTCCACCAAATTCGGGGGATCCCTTCAGCTGAGGAGCCCTCTCAAACGCCACCATCCACGCGTCGGTAGCCCCCCGAGATCGCTTGATCGTTTGGCGCCGGACCGCGAATTTAACCACCCGTAACTCCCGAACCCCGGGGGCTATCGATGCAGGGGTGGTCTCAATTATTCCATAGACTTAAGCTTTAAAGCGTTTTATCCAGGTCGCCAGTAGCAAACAATGGAGCGCGCTCTGCTGAACAAACTAAGCAATTACACCATTTCAAGCATTTTATCTGCGTTATATGTTCTGTAAAAAAAAAATCATATCGGCGGCATATTTGCCGATACCGATGTATCGGAGACAGGCTTATATCGGCCGATAATATTAGCAAAACGATATATCGGTCAGGCTCTTGTACCAACTTTAAGTGAACGACAAAATTGATCAACTCCTGTAGGCCTGTAAAAGGCATTTGTAAATAAGCAATATCTGATGATAGGCATTTGTAAATAAAACAAACAATACATCAATTTATGAAGCAACTTTCTGTAATATATTCAATGTTTTCATCTGACAGAGCAATGTACTATCAAGGGTTTTAACAGAATGTTTAAGTCAAATGTAAATAAATGTGTAGTCATAATTAACTTTGTGTACTGCATCATCACTGTGTCTGTCACGCGACTCTGTTCCCCTTTCGGGCTCTGTCTTTACATTTATTTTGAAAGATGAAGCTGGCGATTATGGTAAGGGGCGTTACATTTCCGACGAGTGCTTGCGGTGTTTGGGCCAATCACAATGCACTGGGTCAACCGGCCAATCAGAGCAGACTGCGCTTGTCGGAAGGAGGGACTTTGTAGAAAACTAAGCATTTGAGAGAGGCGGGGCATAGAGGACCTACAATAATGTACAGTATTTGAAAAATAATGTGTTTTTTGAACATTAAAGCATGTCAACATATTCTGTTACACCAAATACACAAAATAATGATCTTTAAAAAAAAGATCCCTTTAATTAATTGCCATATCATTTTTAACCTAAACATTAATTAAATTAATCCATCAACAGCCCTAGTATTTTCTTAATCAAGAGTTCAAAATGTGGAAACGGTAATGTGTAAATTGTGCTTCAGGCAGCTGTGGATGAGACTAGCTTCAGGAAAGCCCTGCTAGAGATGTGTTAGATTACATGAACAATGAATGTCGAACCGACAGCAAGACATTTGGGCGACAGATGAAGGGAACATTTAATAACGCTGCATTGAGAGGTGGACTTATTGTGATTGTGTCACGCCTCTGCATCACAGTTACCACGTCATTTTGCATCAAGAAAGCCCATATGGAAATTGAATGGATCAGTTGAGATTCAAGGTTGTTTCTAACCCTTCACAATATGGACATGCAGCTTCATGCAAGAAGTGAAACGCCCAGAACATTTAAGGCACTGAGCAAATTCAGAACGCAATCATCATCCTGCATTATGGTGCCAAGGGTTCAAGCCTTCATCTTTCAACTTTTCTTTCTTGTCGACTGCCTTTAGCTAATGCAATATCCGAAGAGACTTTTTTACATCAGTAAGAAATAAGCAAGAAATCTCACTCGCTGAAATCCACAATCTCACCGTAATGAAGTGGAGCGGTTAGAGAACCTTGGACAAATCAAATTTGCAGTAATGATATGATCTAAAGGGCAGAGGGTGACATATTTGAAGTAATCAACTGTGAGACTTTTTTTAACTTGAACAAAATGGAAAGATCTGAACATCATACATCTGAACACATACAGTACATTTGTGTGTATGTGTCCGTTCAAGGGCAAGGAGACGCGAAGAGGAATCTGTTTGCGTGCTGAAATGTGTGAAAGTTTAAATTGGCAGGACTTAGAAACATGTGCAAATTATAAACTACTATGCATTCAAGAAAGGGATTTTATTTCACTATTCAAGATAGCCCATCGGGCAGGGCTGTTATGCATTTTGGTAGCCTCGGGAGCCAGGCTAGTGATTTTCCAAGCCCTGGTCCTCTATGTGTTCTCGAAGTTAACAAAAACAAAACACCTTTAATATGATTTACAAAAAATGTTTAATAAAATTCAATAACTTAAAATGTCATGGTGTAACCAAGTAAATATATATATATATATTTTTTTTTTTCCCCCAAATATCATACATTATCAAATTTTCACATTACAAATTTTTGAGGAATGAGGAATATGATGCCAATAACCTGGACAACTTTGGCAAATCCAGGGATTAGCTCTTCCTCAAAAGCGTTCATTGTATTAACCTGGCACCTTGTAAGCACAACTTTCAGGTTACTTCCAACAGAGCTAGCCAGTCAGTTTGGAACTAATGAATTTTGGAAAGCCCTTCCCAGTTTTTGTGTGTAATACGCATTATACAGTCAGCAAATGGACCACAGCAGATTTTTAAAAAGTCAGCTTGATGAACTAATCTAGAATCAACAGTGTTGCTGTTTTCTTTTTGTCTTCTGTGAGAATTGTCTACACAAAGACAGCTTCCCCCACAAAGGCCTAAATCCTGCTCTGTTGATCACCATGTAATCCCATCAGCCCTTCTGCTCTTCGGAAGCTGGCAAACACGGCGCTGGTCACGTGGACTCAGGGTCAGAGATGAACGGAGGGCACACACACACAGAGCAGAGGAAGGGATGGGCTGAGTCACAGAAGTAGCTGTCGTTTGTGTGACAGATTGAGTCGAGTCAGTGGCTGGGTCTGGAAGCTGTCAGCTCAATGTGTAGCAGACGTTTGATCCTAAGTTCGTTCTTGCCGGCCTGTTCACTGAGCATGTGGCAACGGGCAGCTGTCTCTGAACAGCATCTGCCAAACACGGAAGGACTGCCGTGAAATCAACTTAGTCATCATGACGTTTCCATGTAACCTCGACTCACCTTTTCTCACCTGAACACTAATGTAGCTTTCCAAAGGTTTCTTAACCCTATAAAGCCTACTCTGATTGTTAGGTTATACATTTTTAGCAAGCTAAAAGCCTTTTAATTGTAAAAATGTCCTGCTTCAGGCTTTGGTTCACGTGTCTTTTCACTGAGAAAAGTGGATTATTATATGTCTGCTTAAAGGTGTCATATGATGCGATTTCAAGTTTTCCTTTCTCTTTGGAGTGTTACAAGCTGATTGTGCATAGATAAGATCCCTGAAGTTGCAAAGACTAAAGTCTCAAACCCAAAGACATATTCTTTATCAAAGTTAAGACTCTGCCACGCCTACTTAAAACCAAGCTGTTGTAATGATTATTATCATTATTATTGTCTTAATTTTTATTTTATTTTACAGAACAACAGTAAAATTACAATACTAACATTTATGAATGTTGATGGAGTTCTGGCTTTTTCTCAACTTTTATTTTGGCTGACACACGCAGGAAGACCTCAATACTTATTTTTGTTGACAACAGATTTATAAATGAGTCTCATTACGAATACGTCGTACATATCGCATTGTCACATGCCTTGTAAAAATTCATTAAAATGTGACTGAGCAACGGACGACTGTATCAGC